GGTTGGGATGCAATTGTGTCCTAATACCGCCTCCAACCAGCAGGGCGATCCGTGCCTCCCCTCCCAGATCTGTAGGTACTCGTCTGGCCTGTCGAGTTTGATGCTTATACGGCCTGTGGAGAAGCTGCCTCTGCCTGCAGTACGGCGTTACTGGCCAAGGCCAAGGCACTGAGGAACCTGCACGAGGGTGGTCATGATCCGGAAGTTCTGAAAGAGCTCCGAACCGCTACTGACCTCATCCGCCATCTGCAGCACCCCAGCCTGCTCGTCGCCGAGGGTGGCCCCCTGCGTCCGCCCCTGCTCCCGTGCTGCATCCGCAGCAGCCTCCAGCAAGCGGCGCCGTGGAGCTGGGCATAGGCAGGCCGCCCCACCCATCCAGGCCCCCGTCAAACCTGGCGGTGAGCGAAAGAGCAAGAGGCCTCGGGACGGATGACCCAGAGAGGGAGGAAGCTGCTCTTTGGGCCTCTGCCAAACTGTGGAACCAGGTAAGCGTTGCACCGTACACTCAGAACCCTCTTCGGTCCGCTCACAAGCAGCCCGAGTTAGGTCCCTGCGTTCCACCTTGCTGCCCCAATGGGGGTACGGTGGTGGTTCCACTGGTCCCGCTTGCACAGTATCTGGTGCCTGGCTAGCGCTACCCAACCTGTCTCGTTGGCTTCTGTGGACCATCAGCTTCGGCTATGTGATTCAGTTCGCCCGGCATCCCCCCAAGTTCAGTGGCATCCGCTTCACGACAGTGAAGGCGGCTGATGCTCCTGTCTTGCATGCGGAGATTGCAGTCCTACTGGCGAAGGATGCGATAAAGCCGGTCCCTCCAGCCGATATGAATACAAGGTTTTACAGCCCTTACGTCATTGTACCCAAGAAAGGCAGTGGATTACGACCAATCTTAGATCTGCGCGTCTTGAACCGGGCCCTTCGCCGGTTACCGTTCAAGATGTTGACCATTTCTGCGGTTCGTGTTCGTAGGACGAGCATATCAGTACGAGGTCCTGCCGTCTGGGCTGTCCCTGTCGCCCCGTGTCTTCACGTAAGTTGCCAAGGCAGCCCTTGTTCCCCTGAGAGAACAGGGCGTTTGCATTCCCAACTACCTCAACGACTGGCTCATACTAGCTCAGTCTCAGCATCAGTTGTGTGCACACAGGGACTTGGTGCTTTCGCACCTCAGCCGGATGGGCCTTCAGGTCAACTGGGAAAAGAGCAAACTCTCCCCGACGCAGAGGATCTCTTTTCCCGGTATGGAGTTGGATCCGGTCGAACAGACAGCACGCCTCACAGAGGAACATGCGCGGTCGGTGCTGAACTGCTTGAATTCATTCAAGGGCAGGACAGCGGTCCCACTGAAACTATTTCTGAGGCTCCTGTGGCATATGGCAGCTGCAGCGGCAGTTACGCCACTAGGGCTGCTTCATATGAGAACGCTCCAGCACTGGCTTCATGGCCGAGTCCCGAGGTGGGCGTGGCAGCGTGGCACTCACCGGGTCCAAGTTACACCAGCCTGTCGCCAACCCTTCACCCCGT